TGTAAGTGGCTCATATTCGTGGTCGGTGTTCTGTAAATCTTGAAAATTAGAATCAGTCCGAAGAGACTTACAGACTTTACGCGACATTTTTTAGCAGGCGCTAAAACGAATGTTCCTTACTCCGCCATCATTAATAGAAGACACATTCCATCCTGGCCAAAAGTCTTTATTTAATGTCATTCAAGATGTGTAAATTATTTATCGTGGTGTAAGATAGAATAGATGAATTTTCACACGTTTGTCTCACGATGGAGTCACTTTAAGATGTAGATCGCGACGTTTCGACTGCTATACTGCTAGTCTTCATCAGGCGATGAGGTCAATTGTTGCGTGTCGCTATTGGTTCGCTACTATTGGTGCATTTCGAGTTGAACAGGTTAACGACAAACGATGCCACGATTAAGGATCAGCTTTTTATGTCGATAAACAGCTTATGTTGTTGTTTACACGCAGATGATGTATTTAAAAAAACGATCATGTCAGGCACGATTTGGGAAAAATTAAATAAGCGTCCCCTCGAATAAGCGCTCCCGTCTTCTCATAAATTTGAAATAAGCGCTCCTGGCGCTAATTCGAGGATTTACGGTATGTTGGTTAAAGTTAAGTGTCTAGGAATTTGGTAAGGATTGTGTTTCGTTTTTCAGCATCGCTACGCTCAGCCTAAATTAACGTACTACCACACTTACCCTGAAGTCTACCAAGATCACCTACTTCACTATCAGCTACATCATAACATTATTTTCAACCTCCAGACATAAACCTACGTCCAGATTACAGTCTGTAATAACTGCTGCTGCAGTCGCGCTGCTTTTAAGGCTACCACTTAGTAAAGGTTAGCACCTGCTAGGGGTTAACTATTATTTTGTACTGGTAATATACATTCAGTTAATTTATAGAATCTAAGATCATATCCGAATATGAGGGCATTTAATCAATTTATAACTTCTCTCTTTTCCTTTCTATTCAGGTCTTTGAGACCGAGTTACCAATCAATGTCCAAAAATGTTCTGCGATGATTGGTCCGCCTCCACATCTACCTTTCACTCTTTCCGGGTGGGCGACAAAAAACACGAAAGCCTGTTTGATGATAATTGACGAAAATAAGAAGATCATTTTACAATTACCGCTTCATTCAAAGGATTTTCTCTTGGTAAGTATTTATTGTTGTTTTATAACTTATAAATTTTATAACTTATAAATTATAATCGCCGGTGAGTTCAATCGCTGAACAGTGGTCGATCCGCAATCATCCTCCAAGAAAACGGCCATCTCATGCTGTATATCCCTGCGTATGGAGCCGTAAAAGCCCCCAACAAGCCCTACTCTATAAGCGTTGGGGCAGATTTGAAAATGCTGATTGCAGCATTTTCATTTAAATCGAGAAACAGATAGCTGTCAACCATTTGGGACATAAATAGTGGATGGAGGACACCTTTTCTCCACCATAAAGGCCAATCACTGCCAGATGGAAAAGGAGAGGATCAATTCTCGTCACTGAATTGCTACTCATCAAGCTAATCGTCATGCTTAAGGAAGGGTAGGGACAAAAGGAGTTAAGACACTTTTAAAAAATGACTCTTTTCACACGGTATTTAGCCCGTTATCCTATTTCAAATGCATTAAGTGATAATTCATTGCCACCCCCGTTTCCCTATGCATGTTGTGTAGGCATTGCGGTCTGTACAGTCTAGAAAATAGAGGAATCAACATTGTTTGCGAGGGTGGGGGGAAGTGAGGGGAGGGGAGAATGTTCGCGGATTGAAAGTTTCAAAACTGATCTACCAGGTGCGATGTGTTTGTGCGAACCTTCGCAGGTATGAAGTATCCATCCCTTCCGCGATGAACTTGAACAATTCTGGCCAAATGTCACTTTCCTAGATGAACTCTTTTAGCCATGACCAAACCATGTCGTTAACTGCAAAAAAAGAAAGGCGAGGATTGTACCATGTCTGCCTCAGTTTAATACTCCTTGAGCCACTTATTCCAAAATATTCTGGCATGTAACGCACCTGTCACAACGCACGTTTGCAGTAAGTGCCTTCCTTCGCAAAGATTCCAGGAGGCAAGTTAGGGTTGCTCTTAGAAAGAAAAATGAAAAAAAATAAAAAGATAAAAATAAAATAATAATAATGATACAATAATGAACACCAAAATACTAAACGTCTAAACGTCACAAATGAAAATGTCTGGTGAAACCTATTAAAACTAGACGCTTGCTGCGTGTACCCAGGCAGTCGTTATACTGAGAATCACTAGTTATATTGCAATTGAGCCAAATGTTCTGCATTTGAAGTCGTACGAAATTCAATCGAATCGATATGCTCAAGCTATTCTGCCTTTGCCTGCATTTCTTGGAATCGATTAATAGCTTATTACTAGTTTGCAGGTCTTTAGGGAGTGAAATGAGTCAAGGTCTTTATATCAGCCTATGAACGT